TAATTATTTGACGAGGAACTCGACTAGTTTCAAGCCATGCTAGAGGCTCATATTCATGAGCAGCATTTCGCGACCCGCGACGCGGTGACTGTCGCGTTACTACTATCAGTATCTGGAAACTAGTAAAGTTCCTCATCGAATAATTACTTGAGTAAGTCGAAAACATAATAATAGTATCATAATCGAAACGATAAAATAAAAGTTATAATACAAATGAACTGTATTTGCTCGAAATTGGTAAAGAATCTGGTATACAACACAGATTCCAGGTAATATTGTGGTATCAAGACAAGATTAACGTGGCTAACAAAAAAACAAGAAGAACAAAATTGGTTCTTGTGTTTAGGTGCTACGATCACGACGTCAGAGACAGTCCCAAGACATGTCAGAATAAAACACTAGTGTAATGTAATAACCTACGGCGCGTCGCCCTCCGTGCGCACCTCAAAGAGCCATCAGACCACCACGGATGGGGCCCAATAGGCCTGATGCCGATTCGGAGTCGGTTACCGAGGCTCCGGCTCGAAGTGCAGGAGAAGGAACGGGGTGGTTTTTAGTCAGTCTAGAGTCTAACACTCCCTCCCGCCTCACCCAGGCGAGAGAAGTCATTCGATGATTTTCCCCCCTTTAAACTGTCAAACACCAAGCGGTCACCGGTGACCGCAACCTATTGTTCTATAATTGTATCTACAAAACCGGTACTCGACGAGTTAAAAAAAGTATAATGTAATAAGCGTTTAAAATCAATCAAACAACTTATACTCCTACACTTAACAAACAAAAAGCAATCTACAATTAAAATAACACCTTATGAAACACGAAATTCACCTCACAATCCAATATCACAGCATCCATTACAAGTGGCATTGTAGACAGCATTAATACCTCCATAACATGACGCTGCATCAGATGATAAAGTGAGCTACTTCAATGAAGGACCCTTGTTGCTAAGTAATGGAGACGGCGGCGTTAACGTTAAAATGTTTTGGTCCATATTTGTACGTGTTCATTAATAAAGTTAAGTGTTAATGTGTGTGTTAATTGATAGTGTGGTTGTTGTTTTACAAGTGTAGATCTCATAGTTATTATGTAAAATGCGAATGAAAATAAAGTCAAAGTCAAAGTCAAAATCATTTATTTCAATTAGACCAGTAAGGCACTTTTGAACGTCAAAACAAAATATTTAAATATTAAATAATAAGAAAAAATCTCAGTCTGTAGGTCAGTCCTCTAGTGAAGCTATTTGCTCGTTCCAAAGTGTAGATTCCTATGGAGGAGAACGAGCAAGAAACTCCATAGTTTACTCTTTTTCAATCATGTTCACAATACAATTTTTGGTTACATTCTTCCGTTGAGTTCAATAATGTGAGAACAATGTAATACCAATATTTGGTCAAGGAGACGAAAAAAGAAAATAACCTTGAGAATAACAAATTTAATACAACAAATAAATACTGATATCCAGGCTGGCTTGATTAGTGTTGACCTTAAAAACATTGACACAATAACCAGGAGTAAAAGAAAAAGGTAAAATAGAAAAGATAAAGGGAATAACATTACTTTTTATTTTCCTAAATAAGTAAAGCAAAACATAAAAACCGTAACTACTTACTAACTACTCCCTATTGACGTCGATGCGGACACATTTTTTGTGCTCTCTGTAAATAGTTTTTTTAGTTTTCTTTTATTTAATTTTTATCTTTTAGTTATAGTTTATCTTAAATTGTACATATTTATTCAATTTTTCCTTTCCTTGTGTTGTAAATATTCCAGATTTAATAAAAGTTAAAGTTTCAACTATCTGACTACTAAAATAATTCCTTTTATAATAAAAAAGAAACTAACTCATTTACAGATGCAACATCCATTTTAATTTTCCAAATCCAATTAAGAATTCCTTTGACAGATTCTAGTCTGGTATTTAACAAAAAGTCTATTGAAACAAATTGTATTAGTTCATATTGACCTCTGTTATAACAAATTAAGTCCATCTAATATTGTCTAACACTAGTTCAAAGTAATTAATAAAGAAAAAAGTAGTTAAATGTAATAGAAGCTTTAATTAAAAGAGTATAATTAGTCTTCAGTGGCAATTTGAGTGAAAAAATATCATCGCACGAAGATACTTACTAGGAGCCGTAGATTTTAAATTAGTACGAATTAAAAAGCTCTGAAAACATCTGAAATGAGGTAATTATGAATGATAAATTCGAGTTTTTATATATTTTTGCTGGCAATATAAATTTTGTCGCAGATGCAAACATTTTTGTTGAAGTTATTAGTTGAAAGAAAGATTATTTGCGACAAAGGAAGAAATTGTAATGATAAAAGATTTCAAAGTTAACAATAGGCAACATTCTTTACAGATATTCTATCTATCAATCTTTATTCTTCTAAGCCTACTAATAAAGCTAATAAGTGTTTCTTTAAGACGATAAAAACGAATCCAAATAAAACGATCAAAAAACAAAACTTAATTAAAAATCCTTTTGATATCTTGCAAAGAGTGAAAAATAAAATAAACGAAAATAACATTAATTAAGCAGAAGATTAATTGTAAGTTAAAATATTATTCGTTACAGATAAAGGCTCTCACTAGAACGAAATTAATTTCGAGTATCCATTAATTTTGTAACAAACAAAGTACTAATTTTACCCGAAAATTTGTTACTAGACATTGTTATATCAATTTTCATAAATAAAAGGGACAGGGTTATTAATTTTATAGCCTTATTGAAAGGAAATATATAGTGGTTTGGAGATTTATTGGGTTAAAGCTTAGGGCTTGAGGGCTCCTTCGACGAATTGTAATTATTATTTTCTGATGAAACTTTCACATATGAGAGAGATTTAATACAGAAAGGGTATTCGAAAATCAAAATTTTAAGACTTATTGGATTTAAAATAGATAGGTATAGTCATTACCCACAATTTGAGGAGAAATCATAAAATCATAAAAAACAGATCGATGAATTGAACAAAAATTTTATATCATTTTTTTATATTCCAATGCTATAAAATAAACTACAAATCACTTCAAAAACTAAACTAAAAAACAGTAACACAAACAAAAAACAATAACGAAATAACAAACTAAATCTAAAACCACGTCAGACGAACACATAGAGATAAGGGTTTCAACATACACATACCAACAGACGTAAATAACGAAGAACATATTACAAGGTACATTAGTAACTTACTTGATAATGAAAGCGTCGTGCATTACAAAGCAGACGTTGTAATAATAGATAATGATGTTACTTCAGGATTAATTTCTGAGAAACTACTAATAAAGGGCAATGGTACTGATGATTGTGTTATTCGCAGAGTAATCTTCTCTTTGTGAACCTGATTTTGTTAGCACAATTTTGTTTTGTTAGAGAATGATGGAGATGAATTATAATGCTTAATGTATTGTTTTGTTTTTGATGTTTCAAGTGGTAATGGAGAAACAGATTTTACGAGGTTATTCGAGATAGAAGTAATGTTGTATATTTTAACAAGTGATTCAATTAATGAGCTAATGTGGTTGCCAGTTCATTAGTAACTTTCATTTGTAACCAGAAAGTGTACAGTTGAATAGACCAGAAAAAATATTCGGAAAATAATCTCAGTTCTATACTATTTAAGTTTGAGTCTGTAAAATTGCAAAACATCTATTTCTCGTCCTCCCTTTCAACTTTTGAAAAACTTCTCTTTATTCTGATCATGGTATCACAAATGCAAGAGAATAGACATTCGAATAAAATATAACAGTTTCGGCTTGGAAATTTCAAACAACGTAGAAAACCTTATTTAGGAAACGGTAGCGAAAACTGTTTCTAAATCCACAAAGTACTTTTCGAGATTAGCCAGAATATACTGCATAGTACCGTCGACTTTACTTCTACTATCTTGTACATACCCCCAAATATATGCATGTGTGCGAATGCATTTCAACAGCAACCCTCTCGGGGAATACAACACTATTTCTGTATTTTTGCATCCCCCACTTCTATTACACACAAGAGCAAAAAAACAAAGAAAAACATTCGCAGAAACGAATGTTTGAATAGTTCGTATTCTGTGAAACATTTCGTCAATGTAGGTTCATGTTAATCCCTGTTTAAAATTCAAAGAGCCTGCGGCCCCACTGCAGTTCGAGTAAATTAAATAGAAGACCCGGTGACTTGGCGGGATGAGATGTAAATTCTGTACTGTTGCAACTATAGTGGGAGGGGGGCAGAAACTAATTTGCGCTTTTTAAAACGCTTGAACTTGGAATCGTGGATCGGTGAGAAATGGTCTATTTAAATGAAATAGTTGCTCACACCGTAATTCTAAACGATTAATCGATTTCGTTTTGTTTGTATCAATTTGCTTTGTTTAACATTATTGCTTGTAATGTTTTTGCTCTAAAAGTGAAAATTGAATTTACAAAATGGAAGATCTGAGTAAAAATTTATTTATTTTTATATGTGTCTGCCATGAAAGATACGTTTTTTATTTACCGGAGAAGCAGACAAAGGCACACACGTAATTTAATACTGCAGCTCCTATTTGCTAGTTATGCCATTTGTCTCGTGTACTATAATGGAGTGCAACTACATAGCTTCATTATTATTGAATAACATGCATGAACTTATTGCATTACCTACCTTCGGTGAAGCAAACATTATTTTCCTTTTGATTAAATATTTATAATACGTCAACTTTTTAGCGTGAGACATACTAAAATTACTAAAATCGCAGGTTAATCACGTGAATATACTGAGAAAAGCTCTGAAGCGCACGCTGCTTATGAGGAAGAATGCCTCTGTGGTTCGTACCTAACTAGTCGAGCTTTTCTCAGTATATTCACGTGAGTAACCCGCGATTTTCGTTAACTTTTTGGCGATTAAAGCCAGTCAAAATAAAGGAATAAGCAGCTGCATACCTGGTTATATAGTTATTGAAATAGACAGTACCTGTGTCAATATTTTATTATTAACGTTTGTCAATATTATTTTTGTTCTCAGGTTGGTTGGCTTCGAGCAGAAGACCAGACCGTCTTATCCCTCAACGATCGAGTGGTCCTCAGTCCTCGGTACTCCGTGAACTTGGACACTCCCAGCACTTGGCAGCTGAGAATCAGGCCTCTGAGGGCAGAGGACCGTGGCTGCTACATGTGTCAAATCAACACGCAGCCCAGCATGAAGTGGCAGATTGGGTGCATCGATGTTTATGGTAAGTGGAATTTGAACTTTAAATCTTTGTAAATATAGGTAGAAAAGGTTATTGCATCATCTTTCAATACCTTTAAGAATTATTTTAGAAATGAAATGATGAAATTAGAGACTAAATTGAACTTACTAGAAAGACTAGGTATAACATTATTTTTTTTAATTCGCAAGAAATCTCAAATAAGTTTCAAGAATAGAATCCAATTATTCAAATTACATTAATCTCCCTGAAAAATATTTTGACGCGTTCATGTGTCCACTTTAATCTGTTAGTGCCCACTTATTAAGTACCGCTTACAAAATCCTTTGTTATAAACGAACCCGTTTAGTTTCCATCAAAACGTGGACACCCTTAAGACTTTTAATTAAAAACGTTTTAGTATTTATTATCTTCGGAGTCGTAAATTAAAAGAGAAATGGTTGCTCTCGCACAGACTAATATCTAAAAGGTATACCCGTTAAGAACTTAAGCAAATTACACAACAACAAATAGAAAAACTTCTAAAACAAGGGATTTTTAATAAAAAGCCCCGAAACGAATGATTGTAAGCGAGTAATAGGTAAAAATAAAAGAGGAAGTCTTAAGCTTATTAAGGATAGGAGACAGATCCGAAGCTTCAAAACATTTCAAAGTACTTACGACGAACTTAGAACAAAATTCAATATCAATGAAACGTCTCGAATGAACGCTGGAAAAGTATTTTTCTTCAGAAAAATAAATCACCTTAAGAGAAGTTAACGTTATTTCTACGCGCCATTGAAGGTGGGCACCAACTTTTATCGTTTGCAGCTCAAATTAGTTCTAGGGGGGGTTTATTCTTTTTTTTCAATCCTCAAGTTTTTGAAGTATGGATTTCAATATTGAATTTTTACTATGTCTCTGGGGGGACGCCCCTAACTTTTAGGGGGACGAAGAATTTAATATGTAACATCGCGCCGGTAGTCACCGGGGATTTCTTTTACAAAAGTATAAATGAAATATTAGGAAGTATGGGCGAGATGAAATTACTTCGATAGGTAATATTTCCATTAGATGAAATTAAGATTTGAAGACTTTTGGACCGAATAAATGATAACGCTTTGAATTTTAAAAGAAATGTTCCTTTTTTTGGGATAAACCGGTAAACGAGCGGATGACCTGATGGTAAGCCATCGGTGCCTCACATGGACACCTAAAACACAAAAGGCGTTACAAGTGCGTGACCGGCCTTTTGGGGACTAGGAATTTGAGGATTGATGGGGAGCTTGGGAAGGGGGGCAATTTTTTGTTGTAGCTTGCATTCTATTCAAAAGACCTGAAACAGTTCTTATCAAACTTTAAGCCACTTAAAAAACACATATTCACTCAATTCAATAAATAAATTCTCCACAGACGGTCATTGACATCTGATGAAAGGTAGAAGCATCGTTCAGTGAAGCAAAACTGTTAATTGTTCTGATTCAATCTATTAAGAGCCAAAAACAACTTTTAGCCAGACGCTTCAAGTTTCATCGCTTTGAGTATTTGACTGAGTTGATAGCTATCGATTTTGGTCTCAGTTTTGTGATTCGAGAATCAAGTAGCCATTAGAAAAAAAGGTAAAATGTAATTTATATAGAACCAAACTATCTACGATTTATAATAATTAATATGGTGATAATGTATCACCTAGTGTACCTTTTCACACGTTTCTCTATCTCTGTTAATCAATAACGTGTTTTGTAAAGGGGCATTACAGTACATTGTATTGTAGGTAAAGATCGATAGTAACAGTCACTGAATAAGTACTAGTTTTGTATTATATTCGTATAGTTGTCAATCGAATATGATATCTCACGCAATAACTATACAACTCAAAATACTTTAACTACATCAAAACTTTACTATGACAAAATTACACATCTTAATGTCACAACTGTAAATAATTTTAAAATGATTCATGCGAAATGAAAAGTACACTCGAGCACACACAAGCATATTTAAGCATAAGAGTACCTGAGACCAGCACAGACTTGCAAATCTATGTAGAAAAATACACTCGCGTACAAAATTGCTTGCGATTCGCCTTCCATATTCCAGTGACATTTTTACGAATTTTTCACATGTATTGGACACTGGACACTTTGGTTTTTCGACAGTTATTGTTTCTTTTTCGTATACGCCGCGAAAAATAGGGAATATGGTTGCCTTTATTTACTTTTAGGTTTTAATCTGTGGAATGAAACCTGTTTTATTGACCTAATAACAATTATTTTGTGCAACCGCATTATTTATATTTCAACGAACTGGAAACGTAAATGGAATTTCATTTGATTCGCAATCTTACCTTTGATGTCTAATTTTTACCCCCTATTACAAAGGACTCGTAACATAAATAAAATAAATGAAAAGTGGGTGTCACATTATACAGTGGCATTAAGTGCTGTAATGTGCACCTCTGCCTACTCCTTCTGGGATAAAAGGCGTTATGTTATGTGATGTCTAATTTCTTTCTCTTGTTCACAGTTCCTCCTGATATAATCAATGAAGAGACGTCAGCGGACGTGTCAGCTCAGGAGATGGACAATGTGACCCTGCTCTGCAGAGCCTCAGGCCACCCTCCTCCGAAAATCACTTGGAGAAGGGAAGACCACGAGCCTATGCTGTTGAAGAAAGTTGGCAGTAGGGATTTTTACAAAGGTAACTGAAAAATGGATTCTCTATATGCGTATATGAGTGTTTTTGATATCACTGACACACGTCATTTTCTAATTATAAGTTTGAAATCATTAACCCGCATTGAGCAAGTGTAGTGATTAATGCCCAAACCTTCTCGGTGCGAGAAGAGGCCTTTGGTCAGCAGTGGCCACTTATAGGCTGTTGATGTGAGACATACTAAATAGATTATTATGTTTTCGGCTTACTCACGTAATAATTTGACAAGGAACTCGACTAGTTTCAAGCCATGCTAGAGGCTCATATCCATGAAACTATTCGAGTTCTTCGTCAAATTATTACGTGAGTAAGCCGAAAACATAATAATTTATGTTGATGTAAGTGTTTATGGGGTAAAGTACATAATATATTTTAATAGATATTATATGTAAAGTATATTACGTGCCATTTTTGAATCAACCAATAGTTGATTCGTAAAAGTGCTGGCTAAAGTGTAGGGTATTGTTGTATACTCAAATCCACCTTTTAATTGTAAAACTAGCCAAATATTTTATTTTCATTAGTTGAGTAATCTTTTCAAATATTAGCTAGATCCATCGCCCACTAGTTTTATTTAGATTCACTAGAATTTCGTTTCGAAGCTACTTGAACAAATGTTCGAAAATAGAACACTACGAAAATAGTCCAGTTAAAAGGTAGGTAGTCTATTAAGAATTGAATAGAAAAAATGCTCTATACAAAATCTCACATGATTCTTAATGTATTGAAATTGGGTATTTACAAAGAGCTTTTAGGAAAATAAAAAATACGCTATACGTATTAGAAGAGGGAAATCTCGAGAGCCAGTGGTCCGGAACATTGCTTAGCTCAGGAACCTTGGAGTCACCAGAATGGGAAAACAAAAGAAATCATTTGTCACGATACTATTGGAAAAGTTTTTGGAGCGAACCGCGCTTTGATCACGAACGTTTTCATTTCAAAGTTATTTTTGGTCGGTGATTTGAAAATCGCCCAGATATTTCCTGACAGGTTTGGCATTTATCATTTTAATATGGCTCGAGTTTCCATGTCAGATTGTCTCGTTACCGATTTTGATGACCAGATAATTGGACTGATTATAATTATAGCTATCCACATAGACTAAGACAAGTCTAGGAATACTTTGTAATATCTATTCTTCAATATAATTTACTAAAATTCTGATCGTCTCTAACCATTGTGATTTTAACTGTAATTAAAACAAAACAGAGCTCATTTTAGGTAAAACAAGCTTGCGATTCATTTCCATCTCAATTTAAAATAGATTAAACTTGATTATCTGCTACGAGCGTGCATTTGAATCGTAGGTGCTACTACGCCACTACGCCGCGCCGTAGCTACAAGTATGCCGCGTAGACAATATGGCTACACGCCTGGGGCGGAGAACGATGCGGTTGTAGCCGTTGCTTTTTCGTTTATTTTTTGAAGGCTATACCTTGATTTTTCGGAATAAAACAAAAGGAAACGGGAATATAAATCCCAGTTTTGAGGCATGGATATTTCCGTATTTTTGGCTAGTTCTGAATATCTGAAGGATATCTTTGAAAAAATGTTTATCTTCATAACCAATTGATATATTGTCGATTATTTACCACATTGGGCTCATATTCAGCAACATTGCTTTACTATGTTTTTATAATAACTATCGTGAGACATACTAACGTGTATATACTGAGAAAAGCTCTACTAGTTTCGAACCAGAGAGGGGTTCTTCCTCATGAGCACCTCGTGCGCGGTCGCGGCGATGTCGCGCAACCTACCTTAGGTAACTACCGTCAAGAGGGAGGACGAACCCCTCTGTGGTTCGAAACTATAGAGCTTTTCTCAGTATATTCACGTGAGTAACCTGCGATTTTTAGTACACTTGCTTTACTTTCTATTTTACACACCTTCTCTTAAAATTAATATATCTCTCATAGCAACAATTCTACAATCACATAACCAAAGAACTACACAATACAATTATCGACATTAATTCTCGTAGTCATTCGTTATTTCGCTCCATATAATTTCGATGTTCCTTAACAAGAGTACCCTTTGCCCTTTTATTAATAACATAGTACTGGAAATGCTAATCCTCCTGTCAACCGTATTGATTACTATTGAGCGTAGGAGGGGAGTTTAGTGAGGAACAATCATGTACCTCTTTGTATTGTAATCTTATTATCGAAGTTTGATGAAAGAGGGTTGATTTGTTTTGATATTTTGTCATGGCTTTTGATCTCTAAAAGGGTTCATAGAGGTGCACAAATATGTTCAAAATATAGTACTCCTTTTTCTTCAGTTTTGGTAAAAGTCAGACGTAATGGTGTCTGCAAGTGGTCGATAGGTAGGTATAATTAACAGCGAAGTGTATTTTTGGGTTTGCATATAAGGCCTTGTATAGTAGTCAAGTCAAAATGATGCGACCATCGTCACGTTGTTGAAAAGAAAAAGGAGGGCTTGAGAGCAAATTCAGAAAACGAAGGATCCCAGAAATACTTTGCTCTACCCGGGAATCGATCCCGAGACCCCATGAAGCCATTTGATTAGTAAGCGAGTCTGTTATTTGTGTTTGTAATGTGTAATTATTTATTTTGTTCAGTGGAGAGCTACGTGGGCAGTTCGCTGCCACTGTGGCGCGTGGACCGCCGGCAGATGGGTGCGTTCTTGTGCATCGCAGCCAATGACGTGCCGCCCGCCGTCAGCAAGCGGATCATACTTAATGTTAACTGTAAGTATTATTATTTACGGCTTTAATATTAACTCTCTTATTACGAGTGCCTCGTTGGCCAAATGGTCGCAAGTGCGACTGCTGGGCAAGGGGTCTCGGGTTCGATTCCCGGGTCAGGCAGAGTATTAAGTACTGGGTTTTCTAAAAATTCTCAGTAGTAATACACAGTCTAGAATTGTGTCCGGTGTATAGCAATAGGCTTACCCTTTATAACATATATTTATTCAAAATATATTTTATAATGTACATAGTAACCAAATAATAATTTATGTAGCAACCTAATATAGCACTTATTGCATTTACTAATTGATGCAATTAAATGATTCTGATTGCAATTATCACAAATATTCTTATTAATGCCTTAATTTTTTATATACTACATGGAGTATTCCCTCACCAAATTATACATTCTCATCTTTGCTTAAAAACATGACTTAAGTGGTGACTTACAATGAAAATAATATAAACAATAATTTAGGTTATTTATGGGACGACGTGGTGGCCCGGAGGTTTAAGACACCCACTTCTCATGCATGAGGGTGCGGGTTCGAAACCTACCGCAAATTAAATAGCAAGTACCAATGTGACTTTTTCCGAGTTATATGAACTTTCTAAGATTATTCAGACACTACTGACAAACGGTGAAGAAAAACATCGTAAGGAAACCTAGGCTTATAATTTCTAATTATAAGTTTGAAATCACCAACCCGCATTGAGCAAGCGTGGTGAATAATGCTCAAATCTTCTGCGGGTTAGAAGAGGCTTTGCTCAGCAGTGGGCATTTGTAGGCTGTTGATGATGATGGGGCGACGTGCTTCATCGTAGACTGCGTCATCACTTACTACCTGGCAAGATAGTTGTCAAACGTCGACCCAACAAATAGAAAAAGAAAACAAACGCAAAACATCTTCGTAACATTTGTTTTGAAATCAAATTCCATCGCCATCTAAGTAGGTATAATGAGAAAAATAATATTCGAAAATCACAATGTAAACATAATGTTCCGAGAAAATGTTATATTTCGAGTAAATTATTTAATATTCGTATAACGAAGTTGATTATAAGGAAGATAACGAGTCGTTCTTACCGTTTGTCTGTAAATAAGGTCGAAATGAAACAAATTGAGCGACTCTCACCTTTGCTTCCAATACAATTAGACGATTATTCCTCTTGCCTACCTTCGTATAACTAAAGTGGTGGTCTTATTTATGAGGGAAAGCGAGTTATGGGTTATTGTAATAAATGAATTAAGTCGGATCGTTTTGTGTACTAACAACTTGTACAAATACGTACTGTTATCACAATTTATTATTATATCAAAAGAAACTGAGACTTTATACCTCATAATAAAATAGTTGATAATGACACCAGTAAACAATTTTCCTTACTGACAGATTAAACAAGGAATACTGTTAGACAGGCTTTAAAATAGAGTACAAAAAGTTTTTCTTCTTTAAAAAAAGAACGTGCCGCAAATCAGGACTATCTTCTGTGTCGTGGGTACGTTAACAAACATACAAGTTCATATACACATGACATACAGCCCTGAAACAACAATTTTTGGATCACACAAAGAGTTGCTCCGTGCGGGAATCGAACGCGCGATACGATGCGCGGCAGCCGGTTGCCCAGCCACCGCACCAACCGTGCAGTCGTGCAATTTTGAGCAACATTCCGATACACATGCTACTAGCTACACTGGGCTTGCATGGCGTAAGAACATTTTTGTACTTATCAAGATAGCCAAAATGGCATAATATTAATTATCAAAACTGTATTTACAAAACGCTATTTACACAAACATTAGACCACAAACACAGTCGTGATAAAGCCGAATTGATCTCTCTCTTGTAAGCCGTCCTTGCGTATAATTGACTCTTCCCTGTCATTGGCTCTCCAATCCTCTCAGCTGATGTAGAGATCATATACTTGGAATATTTAGTGGTTACCTAATGTAATCGAGGATCAGTAGTCTTCTATTTTCGTATGAACTAATAAAATAATATATTATTATATAGAACTAGCTTCTGCCCGCGACTTCGTACGCGCAATCCCGATATTTCCCGTACCCGTTCTTGATTTTCGGTTAAAAGTAAAAAATAAGTATTGGGTAAAAAGTATCCTATGTCCGTCTCCTGGTTCTAAGCTACATCCTCACCAATTTTCAGCCGAATCGATATAGCCGTTCTTGAGTTATAAATAGTGTAACTAACACGACTTTCTTTTATATATATAGATTTATTGGATGAATTCATATTAAGGAGGTACTCATAGTAAATATTCCAGATTGTTTTTTAATATATGTAACTGTTCTTAACATAGAGGTTTGATTTGGAAATTTCTAGTATCTGTACTAATCTAAGTCCTTGAAAACCTATGTAAAACTATACTATATAGGTTCTCAAATCTCTCACTCGATAGACATGTCTAACAAATATTATCGCAAAACTTAGGTAACCAAAGTACTTTACTAGAATCACAACTAACAAACTATACCTAATACAATGGAAGAAGTCGTGATTCGGATTTGATTCCGATTCGGAGTCGCGGAGAACCTAACGGGTACCTCCGGCTCGACGTACAGGAGAAGGAACGGGGTGGTTTTTAGTCAGTAAGAGTCTGACACTCCCTCCCGCCTCACCCAGGCGGGAGCAGTCATTCGATGATTTTCCCCCTTAAAAAAATAAAAATAAAATAAAATACCTAATACAATATATACTTATGTACTAGTTCCATTTACACATAAAATAAATATTAATCCAGACACGGACTAATAATTTAATGTAGAAACACGTAAAACTACATATTGTAACATAACATCACACCTTTTTATCCAGGAAGGGGTAGGCAGAGGTGCACATTGCGGCACTTATTGCCACTGTACAATGTAACACCCACTTTTCACTATTTATGTTATGAGTCCCATGTAACAGGGGGTGAGCATATTGCCATATACCGGGCACATTTCCAGACTCCATATTACTACTGAAATTTTAAAAAACCCAGTTATAGTTTGCCACTCGGCCTACGAGGCAGTCAGCGCAAGTCAGGCAGCGTAAAACTAGTTCACGCAAATATCTGTTATCCGTTGAACAGGTAACACCCGCCAGTTGCCTAGGTAACTGCTACTCGTTACCTAAGTAACTGTTATTTGTTGCCTAGGTAACCGTTACCCATCGCCTAGTCAGTTATTAAGGAATAACTCCACGTTTACGGGCAATGGTTGTTGTTTCTAAACAACTTGTACTTTAGCACAGTTTTTTATGGTCTCCCTGCTGTTAAGGCGGGAATAAATTTTTAACGGCAACATTTCCTTTTCTAATATGTCGTAATACCGGTTTAAGGGTATGTCCATGTAATTTTGTCCTGTAATCGGCTTCGTTATATTGTTAGTTGGATGAAGTTTGTGCTTTATAAAGAATAGGTACCGTTTAAAAAGTAATAGGTAATCGTTTATTTTATAAATAAAAATTGTATAATATCATTTTATTGGGTAGTATTAGTATTCTTCACCTATATTATAAATTGCGATTCAAATTGTGTAAAAAAGCATATGCATTAATTAAACAAACACTTTGTCGATCACTTTTGCGTTGATAAGATGATCAAATTAATACTACATCTACCTTTATCACGACTTAATTTGACTTAATATCCTGTGTCCTTATATAGGACAGAGGGCGTACACTGAAGTTCTCCATCGCGATCTATCTTGCACTTCACACATTACCTCGTTTCACATCATACCAATACTCGTCGTTTCTGCCAGTATGATTGGACACTAGGTTGGCCAAGGACGGCCACGCTTTCTTTTCCCTTGAGCCAGAAAGTTATGCGACGCAGGAGGCAAGGCAAGACTTGAAGTTGGCGTGAGATGTCTTTGGTCCCCTTCCACGTTTCGCGCCCATAGAGCAGAACGGAATTTTCATTGGACCCGAAGACTTCTTGCTTCATCCTTCGGGTCAGTTTCCGTGACTGCCACACAGGTCTCAGCTGCGCAAAATATCTTTGGCGATACTTGAAATGATGACGTTTTTAGTACCTCCAGTCTCTGTCACGACGCTCCTGAGGTAGGTAAATTTGTGAACGCGTTCCACTGCCTTTGTGCCAATCAGAACCAGTGTAGGGTTCTTCACACCAATTCTCATTTCTTTGGTCTTTCGGGTGGTAATTTTTTAACATGATTATAGCAATTTCAATGACAAAATGGTGCCATTATTGATTATACACAAAACTTACATACATACCAATAGACAATACATGGATGAATTTATAAATCTTACCATCAAAATATACCGTATCACTATCGAAGCAAGCTTTTATTAAAAATCGTGGTTTTACCAAACGAAAGGATCTCAATGCGGTTTGTACGTAAGGCAATGTTAGATAAGGCGGTGAATTGATCCCGGATTTTGGATCGGGATTGGAGGATCGGAATCGAGTCGATGGTTCGAGAAATTCACTTCACACTCTTCACTGAACGTTGTTAAGCTTTCAAATTGTTCTTCCAATTGTCAAGCTTAGCTATGTATTAAGTGTTCTCAAAGTATTTACGGATTCCTCTAAAGTATTCTGTATTAATACGTCATTTGAATTTTAAGTTGAAAGAAGGATTTTTTGCCGATTTTATTGATGAAGTCTGGAATCGGAAAATCTTTTAAGTAATTAGGTGGTTGAATTTAGATATATATTGGCTTAACCCGTCGCGTGCCGTAACGTAGGTCTACGCGAGACACAATGCATTTTCTATTGTATCTTATATACCGGCAGTCAAGAGGTAAATACGTTTTGGATTAATATAAATTGACTAACGCGATGGAAATTTAATGACATGTGAACTCAAACTTGGTTTTTAATATCTTAGATTATATGTTACTTAATTTTGTAGTACAATACGAATTATAGATCATATTAAAATGCTTCAAACTATGTTTATTTTAGTAATACTTATTTTAGAAGTTCAACGGTTTTAGGTATTAAAAACGATTGCAAATTATTGCAAATAAAATGAAATACATATACTGAGAAAATTCGATAATACCTGAACAAAATTACTTATAATTTATTAAAGAAACTTTCTAGACTATGATTTCGTTATAATATCTAATCTTAATGGAAACTGAGAAAAGAAAAGTCATTATATCTAGTTACAAACATGGAGTCGAAGTACGCAAGTCGCTCGAAATACAATAGGTACAATACATACAATATACATAATATTATATTTATTTTATTTTATTTATTTTAAAAGACTTCATGCACACACTAATGTACAAGGTGGGCTTAATGCCTAGGGCATTCTCCTCATTTACGTATATACCTACTAGGTATATTCTGAAGTTTCGTAAAAATATTTTGTTATCAATAAGAGCCGATTTTTTAATGCTCAGTTAAATTTTCAATTAGGAATAACTTTCAGTATTTGAAAATTTTTCCATACTAAAAACTGTCAACTGTCGACTTTATTTCACAGTTAAGAATTAACTGATGATTGGTAAATCTGGCCTAAATCTTATACTATTATATAAAGTGGTAGAATTTGTTTTTTTGTTTGATTGTTTGAACGCGCTAATCTCCGTACCTACAAGTCTGATTTGAATAATTCTATTAGTGTTGGATAGCGCATTTGTCGAGGATTGCTGTAAACTATAAAACATCACGCTACGACCAATAGGAGCTGAGCAATGCGTGTGAAACCGCACGAAAGTAGCTAGTGTAGTTATAATATCGCAGTTAATTTTAATAGATACATAAGAGGTTGACAACATTTTAAAACGGTCTCACGAACATCTGTCCTTACAAATCACACTTGCATTGATGATTAGACAATCTGTTCTCAAAAAAAACTTTTAAAATGGATTAACGAAAATTTCCTCATCAAAAATTCTCAATTCCCATATGCACAGAGCCAGATACAATCATAAGCGCCCACAGCGATAGCCGTAACAACTATTTATTTGTTTCTATGCCAGTTTGCATGAAAATAACCTCTAATGCCCCGTTAACACGTGAGCATTTCCCGTAACAGACCATTTCCAAAGCAATTCTATGAACGTAGAAGTATAATGCTTATTCTAAAAGTAAGCAATTGCTAGTTTCAGGTTCCTTGTCGCTTGAATTAGCCTATTTTGTAGTTTAGTTGTAAGTTTTGAATAGAGTTTTATAGTTTCCTTCAGTAATAGAACAACGATCTATAGATATATCAACGTATAGATATCTATATATCTATACGTTATATCTATATATCTATACGTTAGCTAATGGAAGATTTTCCTATGAAAAAGATACTTACATTGAACTGTAAATATGTGTATTTAATACTGATGTATGACTAATTTTTTATTTTAATGTCCGTCTGGTAGACTGTTCAAAAATATTAGACACGTATTCTTTATTTTATTACAGAGATAAATTATTTCGACGATATAATTGATTTGAAATATCAAATGACGTTTTCGCTCCTACTCCTAAACTTTGATTCGTTTTGTGTAAACATTGTGTTGCTTGCAAGAGAAAAAAAAATACGTGTCTAATATTATTTTATTACTTAATTGACGGACAAATTACGTTTGTAATATTCATACCCTGTCAGCATCCCTATTAACTTTTATAGTATTTTCTTAAATATTCTTCTTTATCGTCTTAACAATATGATTCAAATTGTTTACGACGTTTCCCTTCAAAAGGCTAATTCGTGTATGATACAACTTTAAAACAACAAAGAATGTCACTTACTTATTATTTTTTAACCAAAGAAAACTAAACACAGACTAACAATTTCATACCTCTAAACGTTAGACATTTCATTAATAAATAAATAAAAAGCAATAGTGAAAATGTCCTAAGGAGTCAAGTCTAGGCACGTAGCTCCCTAGGGGTGGTCCCCAAGGACCGAAATCACGGGACCCCGTTCATTTAGAAACTTCTCGATTCCACGGTAATTGTTTCTGATGCCGATTGAATTTGTATTCCGTAATTGATAGTGAATGACGTCTTTTGTTATTCTGGTCTTTAAGAACGTCTAATAACTTATGTTTGTCTAGTTTTTCTACAAATATACTTATAATGAACAGAATTATGAACAGCAAAAATCCAATATGACTGTGTCGATGAACGAAAACTTTTGACAGATTTTGTTACTTATCGATACAAAAGACATGGTGGTAATCAAGTATAATCGCGGTCTATTCACGTGAATATACTGAGAAAAGCTCTACTAGTTTCGAACCACAGAAGGGTTCTTCTTCATGAGTAGCGTGCGCGGTCGCTGCGACGTCGCGCAGCTCACTGAGCTGCTTAACACTGAGTAGAGCTTTTCTCAGTATATTCACGTGAGGAACTCGCGATTTTAGTTAATTTAGTATGTCTCACGATAGTTATTATAAAAACATAGTGGTAATCTTTCTATTATTTGTTCCTTTATTACAAGCATGTATACAAATATAAGGTACAGATTTCTTGTACCTATAGGAATACCAAAAAGGTATGATAATAAGTTCCATTAGCTTTTTGCGACAGTAAAATAAAACTGAAGGAAGAAAAGTATGTATGGCTTTGTAGTTTTTGCACAACATTTTAACAATACTTTTAAAAGAGAATACCTAGAATAACGTACTGAGAAAAGTAAAGGGTTTACATTGAGTTCTCATAAAATATTAAAGTTCGATATTACGACTCTTTTATCTCCATTCTAATGTAAGATACTTCGAAAATAGATATCATAAGATATTATTATCGTTTCTGCGAGTTTTAAATGAAATACATACGTTTAATGTACTACTTTATTATATAGGTACAGGCTGTAAACAGAACGCTATACAACGCGACCCATTGTAGATCGCATCGTCGCTTATCACCGATATAATGGTCAAGCATCGGCCCATCAAATATCAAAAAAATAAACAAAAACTTCTTTATCACCCGTCAAGCATAGTGATTATAGTAGGTCAAAGCCTCCTTATGATACAGAGAAGGCCCGATCTCAGCACTGGACTGTCGAAGGTTTTTAATGAGGTGTATTATCAAAAACTAGCTTCAGCTATAGCAGCTTTGAACGCGTTCCCGTGATCCTGGATAAAAAGTATCCTATATGTTATTCCAGAACGGTAGGCTATGGTCCTGTTTCAAATTTCGTCTTAATCCCTTCAGCCGTTTTGACGTGAAGGGCTAAGAAACAACCATACCAACTTTCGGATCTATTATCTTAGTAGGGATTAATTATGTACGTCAAATCTTCAGTCAATCTCAAACATTTATAGTTAAACACATTTGGTAACTAATACAGTTCAGGAAATATCTTGCAGTTGCAAAATAGCTTTGTATATGATTATCCTAGATCAAACAAGGCACAACTATGAATATTCTATCATTCGGTACATGGAACTAGGATATAGTATTGATTCCAACTCACCTGCCTAAGCTAGGATGTTCCCTAATCTCATTTAACGGTCCTGCTTTAAGTGAATTAATATTAAACTGTCAAACACCAAGCGGTCACCGGTGACCGCAACCTATTGTTCTATAATTGTGTCTACAAAACCGGTACTCGACGAGTTAATAGTGTTTGATAGATTAGCTTGGTATTGTATTTTGTGATTTGCTGTGTCTTATTATCTTAGTAGTGTACCGGTGATTATGCCCAAGTCAATGACTGATATTTAAAAGGATGGGTTTTTAGTTCTGGTAATCATAGACACTTTTTGATACTTTTGTGTTGTGGTTCTTTTCTCAAAAGGCCACTACAGAAAGAACTTGCACGGTTCTCACACATAATCTTTTATATACATGTATTCGTCTGGACATTAAAAGAGACAGACCTCTGAGTTTGTTTCGGCATTTCTTCTCTGAGTAGTCAGTTAGGAAATGTCGACCTCATCGTTCGCTTGATAAAATTGACGTGTAAAAGTGCTGCCTTGCAGCATATTTGCAGATATAAATGCACTTGTTTCGCTTGATTTTTGAAAACATAATTATTGTCTGTTTCTTGATAAAATTTGGGAACATAAGATTGCTTTACCTTTACCTTATAAAACAAAAATGGAACTAGTAAGACTATAGCTATTTTGAATATTGAGTATGATTTTTTTTAGTCGCTCCATAGGAATCTACACTTTGAAATGAGCAAATAGGTAGCTTCACTTTTAAATTTTTTCGTTAACTTTCTAAACTGCCTACCTGTTCTAATTGAAATAATGATCTTAACTTTGGTTACAATTGTGTTGTTTCATTTATATTTGTATAATGTATTTTTATTTATATTTTAGTTTTCAGTATCTCTAGTAAAATAGTCTTTGAGACACTAATCTCAAACTAAATAATACCTTAATTAAACTATTGTTTTTGTCCAACAGTTTCACCAACGGTGATAGTGCCAAACCAATTGCTGGGCGCGCCTCTCGGCACTGACGTAATACTAGAATGCACAGTGGAAGCCTATCCTAACACTATCAACTATTGGCTCAAGAACAGAGGAGAGATGCTTCTTGATGGGTAAGAAGACAGAAAACACTATAAAATCTTAATAATTTACGATTTAGATTTGTTTAAAGACTACAACTGTGTTTTTGATATTCTGGTTATGAAGAAGACAGAGGTGTTTGACATACATTAAATTATGGGACATAGACATTTAAGTGTGGGAGAGCCATGCTTCGGCTCGAAGGGGCCGGCTCGACCAGAGTGATACCATGGCTTCACAGAAAACTGACGTGAAGCAACGCTTGCGTTGTGTTTCGTCGTGTGTGTGAGGTTTCCGGAGGCCTAATTACCTTCCCCTTACCCAATCTCCCCAATCCCTGAATCCTCAATCTCCCCAATCCCTGAACCCAACGATCCTCAAACTCCCAATCCCCAAAAAGCCGGTGACGCACTTGTAACGCCTCTGGTGTTCCAGATGTCCATGGGCGACGCCGATTGCTTACCATCAGGTGATCCGTCTGCTCGTTTACCGGATTTTTTATAGAAAATACACAGTTCAAAATAGAAACATGCAATTTTCGCGCTATTGCAGCCATTTTAAAACATGGCCGCCACCAACGATTAAAACGATATAAATAGTTGGATTTATGCCATAAATTTTGAGTAGCAGTGCATGAATGTGTTAGGGTATAAGCTAATTTATGGGGCTTAGACTTTTCGTGGAAGCTATTAAAATTATTATAGGTGTTAGGAATTGTTCTGATTGTGTCGATAAGGTCGTAATTAGAACTTACATTTATGGCACGTTTAGTCATAATTATGCCATCAAACAATGTTAACTTAGCAAAACATAACATCACGCCTTTTTATCCCCGAAGGGGCGGAGGTGTACATTACCGCACTTAATGCCACTGTACAGTCACGAGTAATAACATACATACATTGTCACATTTTCTCATGTAATAACATATATTATATAAATTGTCATGTATACTCAAAAATGATATGGGAAATGTAAACTTTTTACTGATTTGTTTTGTTTATATTACTGTGAAACCAAAGTATACCCAGTTTTGACACAGTTTGATGGTTAGATAATTTGGGAAAAAATCCGTACACATATTTTTTGAATGGTAGAAGTAAAGATATTTTAGAAAATGTGACAACGTATATATGTTATTGCTCGTGACTGTACAATGTAACACCCACTTTTCAATATTTATGTTATGAGTCCCATGTAATAGGGGGTGAGCTTATTGCCATATACCGGTCACATTTCCAGACTCCGTGCTAATACTGAAATTTTTTTAAAAACCCTGTAGTATTTTGCCCTACGCGGGATTCGAACCCGAGACCCTTTGGTCGCACTTACGACCACTGGGCCAATAAGGCAATCAAGTCCAAGCAGTTAGCAAAACTAGATAGCGAAATATTGGACGCGTAAGTGTAGGTAGGACCTAGACGTAACAGAAGTCGCGGAGAACCTAACGGGTAACCGGGGCTCCGGCTCGACGTGCAGGAGAAGGAACGGGGTGGTTTTTAGTCAGTAAGAGTCTGACACTCCCTCCCGCCTCACCCAGGCGGGAGCAGTCATTCGATGATTTCCCCCCCTTAAAAAAAAAATGACGTAACAGAACCTATCTAACATGGTTAATACCTACACGAAAAAGTCCAAATAACCTAAAATAAAAATCCGTTAATACGAATATTACACTACATTTGAAAATTAAACTCAAAACCTAAAACTAAATAATAATAATAAAGTTATTTTATTCAGATAACTGAGATCCATGTTAGATGCCTAATTTATATTTTAATTTCCGTCTGGAAGAATATTTTAAATCATTACACACGTATTTTTTATTTTCTTATAGAAACGGATACTTTCTTCGATATATTCATTTGAAATGTCGCGTGACGTCACTTCTATGTACATATTATACTCAGAAATGACGTTTTATTCGTTTTATCAAAGCATTGTTTTATTATACGAAAAAATTAAAAAATACGTGTCTAAAATTTTTTTATTACCTAACTTACGGACTAATTATATTTTTAATTTTCATACCCTGTCATCGTCCCTATTCTTATGGCTCTATAGTCTATACTAAAAAAAAACACTGCCTTATAACAAAATAACCCCAAAAGAGCATTATTTCCTTACAAAGTCAATTGGTTTCCAAAAAATCCTATTGAGATCACAATGACCCGGTTTTCTTGGAAACTCCTTTATCAGTTCAATTGTTCGTCAATAAGAACTCGCACAGTTTGTGGTATTCACATACTTATCATAACAAGGGGAACCACTTCAGTGCACAACGTGAACTTAAAGTACCAATAAGTGGCAATTGTGGCCACGTAAACAGCGATTTTAACATAGACTAGGACTTGATTAGACTTGATGATTTTTTTGTATAGTTTCTAGATAATATATTACTAAATTTTTTATTTTAATTATATGTATATTTATATATAAATATCATTATAAATGTATATTTAACTCGTCGAGATCGATAGACACAATTATAGAACAATAGGTTGCGGTCACCGGTGACCGCTTGGTGTTTGACAGTTTAAACCTATGAATAAAAATAATTGAATCATTTTCAGTGTAAAGCTACATATACCCGTTTTGTTACTTATAATCTACATAGGTGCATAGTTCTAATTAATACAAATTATACAAGTCCAAACACAAGGTAGTTCCAGTATACCGTTGAGGAGTTCCCTTAATAATTACACTTCTTCATCATCAGACCCTTAATGACAGCCCTACTCTATCTAGGTGTAAAGTTCTCATCAATACAAATTAATCAAGCCCAAACAAAAGGTAGTTAATATAAACCGCTGAGGAGTTCCCTCGACTGTCTGTCGGCACCATCATCAGGTCGACTCCAGACCCTTATCAAGTTGTAGTGTTTAACAATCGTAATTGAAAAACATAATAGACGCATTACTTGCCCATAGAATTTTCGAAAGTTCCCCTCGGTTTCCCTAGGATCCCATCATCAGATCCTGACCTCATGGAAATGGGACCATCTCGGGAGTATACCCTTTCACACAAAACAAGAATTGTGGAAATCGGTTCACAAATGGCGGAGTACTGCGCGAAGAAAATAAAAAAAACAACAATCAGCCGAACATAGTACCTCCTCCTTTTTTGAAGTCGGTAAAAACCGATTACAACAGAACTGTTCTGTAAACCCGGAAGAAACATTTTAACTTTAACTAACTCAATAATTTTAAAGGATGTATTTTTAAAACGCACTTTCAAAGCCCCTACATAAGGGTTAGATTTCCACATGTATTGTACTGAACCCAGTAATAAAGAGTTCATATAGTGAATGATTGATTCCACTGTTCAGTATAACAATGCTGGCACAATCACCATGATTTGTGAAACCATTGTTGGAAACCACTTGTAACGGTCAAGAGGAACCAATGGATAGGTTTTTTATTAGCATTCTCTTTTTATGAATATCGGCAAAGAAGGTGCGGTCTTTAATGATCGGGGAGTTCATTTATCATAATTTTTGCGTTAACTTGTTGTTTTTTTCTTTTTAGTAGTGGGTTTTTGTAGTTTTGTTTAGATTGATATTTGTTTGATGATATGAGTGTTTGACTATTCTTCGTAGCTGTTTAGGGTATCTTCTTAACTTCAGACTTCTATGATGGCCGAGTCCGTCGGTCACTCACTCGGTCGAGGATCGAACCCGAAACCAAGCGGTCTCGGGTCGATTCTCGGGTCGGGCAGAGGATTACTGGATTTTAAAAATAAAAATCAATAGTAGGACGGAATCTGGAATTGTGCCCGGTATACGGCAATGGCTCATCTCCTATTACATGGGACTTATAACATGAATAGTGAAAAGTGGGTGTTACATTGTACAGTGGCATCAAGGGCCGTAATGTGCACCTATGCCTACCCTATCGGGGATAAATGGCGTGATGGTATGTTATTGTGATAACTTCACTCTGTCTGAAGATTTCCAGTTTAATAAATGATAAACAGTTACCATACTTTCTGTTTAAAATAGTCCTTTATAATTAGGAACCTGTCAATCAGTTACATGACACGTTTGTTTGTGAAATTATTCATAATAAATTGTGTTGAGTGTGATTACGGCAAAAAAAATAGATTTCAGAACTCTTTTTATCTATAATTTTTACGAACATTTTAATTCGTTTTTAACCTATTCTTTTGTTTCATAGGCCAAAGTACGTGATAGGCGAGGGGCGGTCTTCCTACAGGGTGATGATGAAGCTCACCATCAGAAATTTCTCAAAAAACGACATCGGTACTTACAACTGTGTGAGTACCAACTCATTAGGAAAGAGTGAGGGCACTCTTAGACTTTATGGTGAGTTGTGTTATTGTATTTTGACCCTTAATGATGTTTGCTTGTCATGTCAATATGGAAATTATGTCGGTTGCATTACAGTTTAATATCATTTACATGTTATAATACTTTACCTCTAAAGTCCAAGGGTTCGTCCACATCTGTCGAATGCTCCGCGGATGTGCAGCTTGCGAGCTACTCACGATCTGCGTGTGTATATTTAATATCATTATGTATACAAATGTTGTATGAGTTAAGCGCCAAACTATTCGCGTATGACTGTAAGCGCGCAATCGCAGCCAGAAGGCATAGACCACGCGTGTGTCGCATTCGCCAGATGTAAACGCATCCTAAGAATAGGAAGTCACTATGCTATCCAAATTAATTTTGCCAAATGTGCAATGACTGAGAGTTTGATAATGTCACATGTTGGGATTTTAGAATGTGTAAGATGACTTTGCGTCTCAAAAAAAGGAGAGCATAAAAACAAATAGACCCAAAACACAAATTGACTGCACGGTTGATATGGTGGCTGGGCAACCGGCTGCCGTGCAACGTGTCGCGGGTTCGATTCCCGCACGGAACAATACTTTGTGTGATCCACAAATTGTTGTTTCGGGTCTGGGTGTCATATGAATGTGAACTTGTATGTTTGTAAACGCACCCACGACACAGGAGATAATCCTAAAGTGGGGTGACGCTTTATAAAAAAAAAAAAAAAAAAATTGAGCTTAAGAAGTCCTATAAAGAAATTCAAAACTATAATGTTCTCTTTCACCAAAACTACAGAAGAAAATCCGACCTAAAATAGATTAGCTAAGTAATATTTTCTTTAGCACACAAAACCCCAGAGGATGCTAAAAATCATATATTTTTTGCAGAAATAAAACTGTATCCTAGTTCCCAATCGTCGGCCGAAGTTAACATAGGAGGTAAGTAAATAAGATTTAAGTCCTTAGGGTATGTACCGATATGAATAAATATATGAGTAATATAAGTGAAGGGATATTGAAATACATAGATACATATATGGATCATAATAATCTTGGGAATACTTCCGAAGGGGTTACCGATCTATTTGGCATAGCAGTTTTTTTGTTTTTGAATATATATTTTTTTGTAAATTTATTTTGTTTTCACGCGGTGTAGTGAAATATTCATGAGTAGTTTTAATCATTTTATCGTATGTATGTTTTCTGAGAGCCTTATCAGCTAAATCTGGTATTATAAGTTACATGAATATGAATAATGACATGGTTGGCAGAACGCGAGGTATCATGTGCGGATTCGATTCTTGCACGGGACTGTTTTTTGTGTCTATCTAGAAGTTGTTGTTCCCGATCTAGGTGTAGTGTAAAATATGTTCATAATAATTAAAATTTTTGGTTTACTTGCGCTAACTAATAACGCATGACCAGCGCACGTTGATAATGAGGAAGAGTCCCGTTATGGCTTGTAACTAGTAGAGGTTTTCGTAAGCAAACTGGCATTTTTAATTATCAATGTAAAATAACATTTAATTATGAATTAAATATTAATAATCGACTTCAACCCCCTCTTTTTTGAAGGCGGTTAATATTAATTAACCGAGGAGTTAGCATATTAATGCTGAACCCTTGGCCTAAGTTTAATAAACACTTTTCTATAAAACGCATCAAAATCGATTTAGCTGATCGCGAGATATGTGGACACAAATTAAATATCCATACATGCGTATAAGTCGAACGAAATACGTCTTTTTTAAAGTCGGTTAATGATGTGAATTTCACAGAAGAATACCCCTTTCTAACCCTATATTTCTATCCCACAGGTCTAACAGAAGGTGCCGTGAAACAAAAATCACAATACAACAGTTCAACGACCTTTCCAAGAACGATTGCCATAATTGTTCTACTAACATTATTACAAGTATATTAGGCTGCTATTGTTATGTGATAATTTAATGTAAATATGTACATACATTTGACACGGTCATTAAACATGTAAGCGTTATATTTTAGTATAATAATATCTACTGTTTTGTTTCAACTGAAACTCTGATTAGGTTTTGTTTTGGTAGAAGATTTCGTGGTTAGCAACCTGGCTCATTGTAAGGTATTTAGATGTATATATTTATCCACAGCTATGCGGTATAAAAAACAAGAACTGTAACAAAAATAATACTTTCATGCATTAACTTCCAAGTTTCTTTTTGTCATCCTTCTATACTGTATATTTTTATATTTTAAGCTTTGTCCTGTTCCAACGGTAATGAAATACAGACTAAAATAACTAAAATTAATATAATTATATCAATTTTGTAAACAAAAACCATTGAATTTTTCATTTATTTTGACCAAAAACTTTCATTGTTTGTTTTTATACCAAGTTATTGTTTATGGATGCGATTTTTGTATACCTAATATTTAAATAAACCAAATTACTTTAATAATGCTTTGATAAAATCTATTTTGCCAATTTTGATTTGTGACCTATATCCAAATGTTTTAGGTGTTTAAAATAGAGTCCTATATCCTACAAGTTAAGAATTGTTATCCAACCCATGACTATTGTAAACAGTTCTCCAAATAAACATTTTAGTAGAAAAATAATTTGTATTTATTTTATACCTATTTCCTTTATGCATACCGAAATATTTAACAGAATTTAAGGAAAATTATTCAGTATTCATTCAAAACAAAAAACAACCTTTTTTCAAGAAATATTAAATTTAATTTTGGCGCCAATTTTTTTGTCGTTGACGCTGCCACCGTTGACAGTGACGTTTATTTCTTGACAAGGAAACAGATAATAAATAAATAAAGCTGAAAACAGACATTGCACTTCGTTTTACAATCCGTCCTTTCAACTAATGAAAATCTTGAAGGACCTCGTTTTATGACAGTTCCTAAATTATATGGCTTAAAGGTGCTGTTAAATTGAGCTACAAAAAGCAGATGACGTTTTCCCTTGCTCATTACATTGGAACTCTGGTAATATAACCTTGGATTGGTTCAAATTGAAAAAGTTAAAATTCAATACTGATTAGTGCAATATATGGCAAGGAAAATTAAATAGTACTGTAAAAGAGTTAATAAATTCACTATGATATATTGGAAGATACGTATAAATATGAAATTATACCAAAATCGAAATACATGAAAAGGCGAGAAAATGAAATGATTAAAAATCTATTGATGTAAATGGTTATCTAAATTAATTTTAATTAAAAAAATTCACCATCATATTAAGATCAGTTTATATAATAAACTAGCTTCTGCCCGCGACTTCGTACGCGAATCCCGTTTCTCCCATTCCCGTAGAATTTTCAGGACTTTTTCTGTCATAAGAACCTTGTGACAATAAGAAATACAACAAAAAAAATCAGCCAAATTCGTCTAGCCATTCTCAAGTTATAGCGTGACAACGGGAAACGGGTTTCATTCTTTAATATATAGATAAAAGAATACTTTTTTTATTCAACAAATAATCTTTTCAAATTTAAACATAGAACATAAATAAATGGCCACCAATAAACTGTTTGACATATTTCCCAACCATCTGTAAATTGATAGTATTTAATGAAGTCCAATAAAGGGGACGTTTAACTTGATAAGGTTATTGAGGACTTGTGGAGGATATGAAATTCTGTGATTATTTATTTGTATAAAAGGGGTTTTATACTTAATAACTATTTGTTTGTGTGGGAAAATTTTGGAAAAATCGAAGATTTATAGTATTTAAATATGGCAGTTAGAACATGTTTAAATATTTCAATCGCAAATATGAATAAGTTTATTTTGAACGTAGATGCTGAAAATTAACTGAAATAATCCCATTTCATTAACTGTAAGGAAATAGAGAAGGATATTAAGCACGTAGAATTGATAAAGCCTTCGTGAAAACTGAATGCCAAAATTAATAAAATATGTTTACCCGTTATTAAAATAAAATTTATAAACGCTAACGACAGTTAAAAAAACATTAATATATTAATATAAAAACAAAAACCCCAAACACATAAGCTCTCACTTAAATCAATTTTCATTTTTTTTCAGAAAAAAAAAATACAGTCACCAAAAATACAAAATACACAAAAAATAAAAAATGACCATTACATTGCCGTCTGTAATAGAAACGGTTCGTTATAAAATTTTCAACGAACGAGTAAACAGTACCCTACTAATATACACGTAACAATAATTTATTGGAACCGGCTGTTCGTGGAAACCCGTTGGAAAAATAATGGTTTAGGGTGCGACCCTTCAGTGTAGCCAGTTCCACCGATTACCAAATCAAACAAGTCCATTTTAGGCCCTATTGGTTGACAAAGCTGATCTCTTTAAGATATTTCAAGTGGTTTCAATTCAGACCTTTAACGTGTTATGTCGTAATGGTGTGGAGAAAACATGGGGTTTGTGAACTTGAAAGTGACAAAGAGACTCTTTTGTGGAAGGAAAAGACTTATTTGTGCTAGAGTTACTTAACGATAGGTACGTTTGCTGCAGGATACAGCTTGCCGCAAGATTACAATGAAGTAAGTATTGATACCGTCTTAACAAAAACAACATTCTAGTAATGACAATTAGACATTTTCTGTAAAATAATGAGCATATAATGACTAATTTTACATGGGACTCACGCCTTTTATCACCGAAGGGGTAGGCAGAGGTGTATATTATGCCACTGTACAATGTAACACCCACCTATTACCATATACCGGGCACAATTCCAGACTCCGTGCTACTACTGAGAATTTATAAAAACTCAGTAGTACATTGCCCGACCCGGGAATCGAACCCGAGACCCCTTGCCAGGTAGTCGTACTTGCGACCACTCGGCCAACAAGGCAGTCTATTTGGGTAACTAATCAAAAGAAACTAATCAAAAGACGACATCGCATGTGCACTAGTCCACTCTTATGAAGTATTTAAAGACGATACTAAAATGATTACAATAATACAAAAATAATAAATAATTTTAAATAATAACTCAAAATTCATTCTAGTATACAATACCTGTTGTCGCGGAGAACCTAACGGGTAACCGGGGCTCCGGCTCGACGTGCAGGAGAAGGAACGGGGTGGTCTGACACTCCCTCCCGCCTCACCCAGGCGAGAGCATTCATTCGATAATTTCCCCCCTTAAAAAATACAATACCTGTTGTTATAAAATTGTTATGTTATACTCAAGCTCATAGTTATTAAGCTAACCATGCTATCAAAAATATGACGTGATAAACCAATATCGATAGCCATCAATCGATTTAACTTTACTGTAACTCGATTTTAGTACTCGTTGTAAGGAGCAGTAGTAAATTGGACACAATGACAGACTCCTTTATCACTTCAGATAATTTTTAAGTGCCCATCTCAGCATTATGAGCCTCAAGGAGTCTGTGAAGCCTAACCCGTTTTGATTGTAAAAGTTTCATAAAAAAATAAGTTACGATATTTTTAAGACTACATAATCTGAGTAGTAAATTGAGGTACTTATTCTAGGTATTACATCGTTTGCACTGTATGAGTTTGTGGGTGGTTTGTAACATAAACTAAACAAGGAAAAAATAGAAATATATTTTGAGAGGTATATGATTAGTTATACCACGGCCTCACAGAAAACCGACGTGAAGCAACGCCTGCGTTGTGTTTCGTCGTGTGAATATGGTTACCGGAGGCCCAATTACCCTCCCCTTCCCCAATTCCTAAATCTCCAACGATCCTCAAACTCCCAATCTCCAAAAGGCCGGTAACGCACTTGTAACGCCTCAAGTGTTCCAGGTGTCCATGGGCAACGCCGATTGCTTACCATCAGATGATCCGTCTGCTCGTTTACAGGCTTATGCCATAAAAAAAACGATATCTGCAAAGTGGCTGGAAGTGGTTGGTTGCGTAGAGCTGAAGATCGAGCTCAGTTGCTTGCCATTGGAGAAACCTATGTCCATCAGTGGACGGGCAGGCTTTTAATGATAATGATGCCACTTAAATTGACATACGCTATAGAAGCCAGATTTTCAGATACATAAGAGTGGTCCAGTAAAATTTACCTGCTTTCAATAGGGTAGATGCCAAATTTTAATTTTAATGACCGTCTTGTAGATTATTTTAAATCATTACATAGACACGTATTTTTATTTTCTAACAGAAACGAATACCTTCGACAATATATTGATTTGAATTGTCGCGTGACGTCACTTCTATGTACATTTTATAAGTAGAAATGACGTTTTAGCCCATACTCCTAAACTTTGATTCGTTTTATCTAAGTATTGCTTTCTTATACGACAAAATGAAAATATACGTGTCTAATATTTTTCATTACCTAAGTTACGAACTAATTAGATTTTAAATTTTCATACCCTGTCATCATTCCAATTGCTGTTGATGAAAGAATCATTTAGATTTTCTTTTTATGATTTCATAAAAAGAAAATCTAAATGATTCTTTGTCTAACATAGAATTAAAACTGCTACCATATTTTTGATTTTTATCCCAAATATGCAGAAAATAAACAGCAACATTCAAAGATGATCACTTCCTCAAAATTCGGTCTTTTTATTGCATCCTCGGTCACAAGACAGCCTTAATTTAATATGGCCTGCTCGATTTGTTTACAAAGGAAAAATTTATTCATGAAATTTGTTTTCGAGGGTCCAGACCGTCTCGAATAAAAATAAACTTTGCAAGCGTGGGTTACTTTGACCCAAGGGCCAAAAACCTTTAGGCCAAACAATATTTTTCACTTTTTTCTCAGATATAAGGTATCTGGTGTAAAAGGATTGTTTTAAAGATAAACATCGTTTAATTAATTTAAATTCGGTTTGTTTGAGCTTTCCATTCTAATGGTTTCATAAATTAATTATTTTATTCGAAATGATAAATTTTGTGTTCCATTTTTAATTAATGAAATTATGAAATGTTTTGTTTGTGGTAGCGAAATGGTTGGGTAATAAATTTTGAAAGAGATCAAAATAAAATATTTGAAGGAAATTGTTGTTAACCTTTGTTTCAATATATCTCCTTTTCTCATACTGAAAAATAAGGTATTTATTTAATAATATCATAATTTGATTGTATGTAATAACATAACATCACGCCTTTTATCTCCGAAGGGGTAGGCAGAGGTGCACATTATGCCACTGTATAATAGAATACCCACTTTTCACTATTTATGTTATGAGTCCCATGTAATAGGGGGTGATAGGCATATACCAGGCACAATTCCAGACTCTGTGCTACGACTGAGAATT